CAAATTAAATTTCCAGTTTTAACACTGCCCATGCATTCAATCTGAAATTGATCGATTAATAATAATTTATCGAATTTGGCAGCATTATTTTCGTTGACTAGCGGAAATCATTAATATCACATTTGCCGATTCCCAAAATATTATTTACAAACTTTGAGCTTGACAGATAAATTATATTTCAATTATTTTTCAACCCATATGAATTGTGTAAAAAAAATCAACGTATAACAGTGCTACTGGTCATCCGCTTGTTATCTACTTTATGATCTTTCGATCGTATTATCGCGTTCCGATCGAAAGTGATTTGTCAAACGAACGAATACTACTTGGTTAGTGAATCGAATAAAAAATGCTAGCAGATAAAAAGCAATTCGTCGACACAATCAACTAAAAAAACAAACAAACAAACAAAAACAAATCTTGTGAGACAATTATAAATTATTGTCTCATTCCTGTTTTACATGTGCAAACAGTTACCAATTTTTCCCACCAAGCGAGATCAACTGTTATCTACTTCTACATTTTTGGACACGCCTCTTATATCCGGTTGCTGAGCAGCAAAGGGAAAGGGATAAAGTATCAAAGACTGCTTTGTTACGATATGCTACACATGCGCGATACTTTCTTGCTACGACGCACTCGCAGATAACACGCCGATACTATTCTACACTTCCTCCCTTCGTTATCTTTTCCATATATTTTTAAACAATTTCCATCCATACATCCATCCAATGGCGCTACAGCCCAAATCGGGCCCGGGCCTCCTCATTTGAGGCATCGAAATAATGCGTGGATTCTCTCGGTGGTTGTCACTTTCCTCCGAGAGCTGGCGTCCGAAAAAACCAGCGGTGTCCGCGGTTGGATTTGAACTCGGATCCTTTCGTTCATTTGTTTACTAAACAGCGCACATTTATCTGCGCTATACCTGCCACTTAAAAAAATTTACAAGATTTTATTCGATACATTTTATTAATTTGAAAGACAATCTTTTTATTGTTGATATATTGAAAATTTTGTTATATTATTTTCACGTACGGCTTTTAGAAGTTGAATTACAACTTTGTTGCAAATGAATTCCGTGAAGCATCCCTAGTATCCGAAGTTAAAACCTTTCGACCCTTTACCGACTCTCTCCTGATTCGTGGGAATTTTTCTCTCCGTGCTACAAAGTGCCGGGCACACGCAGTCCACGAGAATAGTGGTGTGCGGTCGTTACGGAACACAGACAAGCGGTTTTCTTCGTGAGGATCGGTGAACCCTTCACATGTAGGAGATACAGAGTTACTTGGATCGTCAGCTACATTGTGGCGGTCCCGCCGCCGGACTAGGGGTCCAGTCCGCTTCTAAACTTCCTCATCAAGTTGCTACAGACGCAACTGTGCCGCTAAGATCGCTCTACAGCTATTAATAAAAGCATCTCTTACGAAATAACAGATACTCGGAATAATATTTCATGAATTCCGTGAAACGTCCCTAGTACCCGGAGTTCAAATCTTTCGACCCGTACAGTCTCTCTTCCAATTCGTGGGAATTTTTCTCTCCGTGCTACAATGTGCCGGGCAAACGCAGTCCACGAGAATAGTGGTGTGCGGTCGTTACGGGACACGGACAAGCGGTTTTCTTCGTGAGGATCGCTGAACCCTTCACATGTAGGAGATACAGAGTTACTTGGACCGTCTGCTACATTGTGGCAGTCCCATCGCCGGACTACTAAGGGCCTAGTCTGCTTCTACATTTCCTCATTAAGTTGCTACGGACGCAACTAAGATCGGTCTACAGCCATTAATAAAAGCAGCTCTTACGAAATAACAGATACTCGGAGTAATATTTCACGACAGTCTGACAGGATCGATTACCTTTTGTTGAAGAATAGTCTTCTATTGCAAAGGAGCACTTTAATGACGGTCTTTACACAAAGCTGTATTAAATTTATTAATGAAATCTGGATAGTAAATAAAAGATATATAACTAATTTTTTAAAAACAAATTTATGATATAATTATTATATTCTCTAAATTATACTGAAATTTATTATGTGTACATTGCATATTGTGTATGTACACTTCTTTTTGCAGTTTTATATTTTAATCTAATTGTGAGCAAAAGATAAAGAAAAGTCGTGAATAGGAAATATAGAGAAATAGTTTTAGTATATCACAGTGTTGCATCAGCCGGATGTTCGCTACACGAAGTCCCACCGGAAATCATATATATGTCATCAATCAACTTAAATCGCTAGAAGTGATGTTAAGAATTTGTTTTTCGAAGCGAAAACCGTCCAAATCATGCTCAGAAAAAGTTCTCCTTTGTGTGCGCCGTTTTGTAGAACCATGAAAAATTAGAGAAACGTATTATTGATGGCAGGATGTTTGATCAACTTCCTGCCATATCTTTGATCGGTTCTTCACCTGGAATTCGAAATATTCGTGGGTTACATTAATATTAAAATAATGTCATTATGTGTAGATTTTCTAGAGACAGTTGTTAGTAATAGGAGAATCTCTCGGAGAAACCGAAATAGCCTAGGAATAGTCTCAGACCAGTTTCTACATTGTGTGCTTAGGATTCCCCCCGGCCGAGTCCTAACTACCACGTTCCAATGTGCGAGGGGAAAGTGATGGAAAGAATTCCTTTGTCTATTTTGAATAAAATTTTTTATGTAAAAAATTTTGCCATTTTGTCGATTTTTAAAATTAATATTATTTTATTCTTAAAAATACGAATATATATCTTTAACGTTCCTATGTTAATTTTTATTTAATTACAATACAAGTATCTGTATGTTATTAAATTGTAGATTTTATCACACCGGAATAATCAAATTCAAACATTTACTTAAATACATTATTTATTCTATTATAAGAACCAAAATAATTTATTATACAGATATTGTGTTTTTATTACTACAAATTTGAAAGAAGCTGATACAATATAATTGTACAATAGGTAACATTTTATTAGATAAAACGGATCGTGTAGTTTTCCTAGTAGAGGTCTTTGTCGATGTAGAATTTCCTCCAATCATTTATATGCGCCCCTCGAACCAGCTACCACATTGTTGCCCTGCCTTAATCTTGTATCGTCGGTATTTCTCGAACCCAGTTGCAGACGAGAATATGTGTGAGCACAAAGAATTCCCACATCGTCAGGCGTTTTTCATATATACTTTGTATATATATATTCTGTTATTTTTTTATATCTTCAATAATTAATAACTCGTTAACTATTGCGAAAATTGCAAAATGGTACAGGACTTTTCGACCCAGTCTAGTCCGCTGTATTCGTGAATAAGAAGGTGAGACGGGTATTACATAACACCCTGTGTATGAAAAAATGTATATTTGAATACTATGGTATTTTGATATATATTTTGAAGAAAATGCCTGGCTATTTTTTAATAAGAAAGAACACTTTTACGTCAGTCGTGGAGGATAGATCGATATATCGATATATTCGTCTCGAGTACGCCTCATGCGGATTTTCTCACGCGCTCACCTACTAGTGATCGCACAGCGAGAAGACGATCGCGAGACTGCAGGATAACGCGAAGAGCGTGAGAGGATGATGATACGCTTTCTCTCCTTTGCAAGCGTTAAGCGACATTCTTATCTTGCTTGACAATAAAAGTCTTAATTTAAGCTTCTTACATTTATTTATTATTGAATTTTGGTGAACTTTTTATGTTCACCAAAATTCAATAATAAATCACGCACGCATTGGATGATGAATTTATATTAATGCTGATCTCTTGTTTATGTTTCTCACTAGTCATTGATCCGCACTATTTTGATATTTCAAAGTTGCAAGTCGTTGAAACTTTGCTGAGTCGAGAGGAGCAAGAAATGCATGCTCGCATTTCTTTCGTCATCTACAATCGTGCAAGTCTCCGAACTGAAAGTTACGCGATAGTTGTTCTTATCAAAGTTCTAAGAAAGACGGTTCAAAAGTATCGGCTACCGCTGCGGCGCCACGCCGTGCGATTCTCAGCTTCGTCGACTGTGTACGCGATCGTATAATACTTTGTGCATTCTATCATGCATATATATTTGCTCAATGATAATAATAATAGTTGCAAATAATAATAGAATCTGTAGTTCTTTTGAAGAATCTTCTAACAGTGAAATATGAGATATGAGAGTTGAAAAGTAAGACACGTATAATATCAAAGACAATATTTTTCAGTAAATACAGTAATATTTTTTATTACTGCACACACACACGCACGCACGCACATTAAACTTCTTAAATAATATTACAGTTAATTTAAAGAATATACCTTTTTTACTACAAAATAGAAAAAAAATTTTAAATCTTTACTAAAGTCACTCGTATGCTTAACATTTGGAAAATACCTTTAATTTTTGAAAAATTAATGATTGCTAAAATGTAGAGATGTACAGTGATAAATAAAGTACTGAAAATAAACCATTTTTGTACATTTAAATAAATACTCTTTATTTTTATTTTCACTTTTATGGAATTTATCGAGTTTTAATCTTTTTATTTCTTTTTTTCGGAAGACGCGTGTAACTTAATTCTCTTACACCGTATTGGGGTCGCGCTTCGTCGCATCCTTCGCGTCGCATTAATTTAAGTCAGGATCGATAAGCAAGTGCCTATCAACGCTACTAATCTCATTAATTATTACTCGAAAGGCGGGAAAGAATCGCTTCTTGCTGTTCTATCACTCGTAAGCGTAGCTTATGCTATGTAAGCCAATATGTTTCTACGATGTAGAATTATTAACAGAAAATTAGTCGAAAGTCGAGACTCTTCAGATTCTTAACTCCATAAATCGTAGCTTTTAGATCATCATTTAAAATTGAAGAATTATTATTGAAGACTTATTAGTTGCACAACTTATTTAAAAAAAATTTAATTTTCTTCACTTATAAAAATAGCAAATGTTTAATTGCTTAATAATAATAATAATCTATGCTGTCGCTCTAGTTCCAATTATTGTCTTTCGGCATTAACAACAATCTTCTTTGTCGTTTCAGGCTAGTCGTACGCTTGCAAATGGCGAGTACCTACTTCCGTGTCCGAGATGCAGCTTTCCCTGTCACGTGGATAGCGAGAAGAATGTGGGTGCCTGCTCGAGGCAGGGCTGCTCCATCGAGTTCTGCATCTCGTGCTCGTCGAAGCCGCACGCGGGTCCGTGCAAGACGCCCCTACTGGCCACCCCGACGAAGCGCAACAAACGCCTGATCGTCGGCTCCAGGCAGAGCAAACGGAATCTGCGGCGACTGTAAACCGATTCCCTCGGTCGACTCGCGTCCCGGTCGTTCGCGAGATGAGAGGAACTAGTCTAACTGCGGAATCGCGCCAAGTCTCAATCGAAAGAGGGAACAAACGTGTATTATAGACAAAGTATGTGTACTGTAGTCGAAAGCGATTTTATAGTCTAATTTGAAAGATAAATGTTCTAACGATTAATCTTGCTGATTAATCGATGGAGAACGTTAGAGCGGAGCCGACGCGACGTGCTCGTTGGGTAGTGAGATGAATTCGGTTGTACAGCGTACGCGACACATCTTCATAGCTCGAGAAATGCCTCGAGGGTGCTTTCGTATGGCATATTAGCCTACGAGGTGGCATAAGTATATTTAACCGCCGTAAATGCCGCTCGTGAATGATTTTTAAGCGTCGTAAAATCCACAAACGCCCTAATTCGCCCCGATCCGTCGACACCACGGAGAGGAGGCTTGATGCCGAAGTACGGCTTAAATCTCCCGAACGACATCGGCGGATGCGCAACCGAATCCCTCTCCGGTCCTCCCCCTCGTCGATCTTGAGAATAAGTTCCGCCCCGAGCGATGCAACTGCACGGAGGACGAGAGAACGAGAGAGATAGAAGGGGGCGAGAGAGCGAGAGGGTCAGGGGGAGCGTACCCTCGGCGGGGGCATGGGGAGAAAAGGGGAGAATGCGAATGCGGGAGGGAAGGGAGAAACGAGAGAAGCCATAAAGGCAACGGTCGTAAAACCACGTAAGGTACCGGCGAAACACTTTGCGTCGCCCGGATATTCCGCTTTTTACCGGGCGCTCTCCGGTATCTTAATGAAGACGGGGAGAGAGTCGGTCGAGGGCCCGTCCGCAGAAACCGCCATTTCTCCCTCCCTCCCTTCCTCTTTCCCTCACGGCAATCGTAAAACTCAGCAACCGCAGGGATCGCGAACTCTGATCTGTCCGTCGAGATGCGACCGAGACGAATTCTCTCTCATTCGTCTAGCGGCTCGGTTCTCGGCTCATCTTTTTCATGTGTAAGACATAGAAACATAGTTTCTATTCCTTCGGGCGGACGTTTTGTTTCTCCTTCAATCCTGCTCAACAGAACACGAGCAGTTTAACTAATCCTTGCGCGGAACATTTAATACTGAATTCGCGAAAGAGTGAGAATGGATTATGATTTAGAAATATTTTCTCATTTGCGATATAGCAAATAACATATTATATATATAAATAATATGTATCCTCTAAACTTCAAAATTTACAGCTTGTTCTTATACATCATCCTCTCTTTCGTATGTCAAGTAGGTAAAATTACACTTTACAAGAGTAAGTACTCTTCTCTCTCTGACGCGAATCTGTAAGCTCCGTACTTTCGCTCGATTCGTTCAATAAGTATTATTGAAATTACTTGGAGATAGATGCAAGCGTGCGAGAAGTAAAAGAAGACTATGCCGGAATAGGAAGTGAGTGTCGGAAGAAACAGATGGTCATATAATTGGCGTGAGAATTATTATTCTGCAATAATATGAGTAATACGTACATATTTTAATAATTTCGTTTTACGCTATCTGATAGACCAGTGAAGGAAAAGGGATTTTACGAGAGAGCGAGAAATTTGATGTTCGTATGAAATAAAAGATACTCTTTGCTGCGCACTTTTTGGCTGTCAGAAACTGCTGCAAAGAACTCTACACCTGTGCCATGATTAAGTTTGCGCCATAATAATTGCCATATTTTAAAAACTGTCACAATTACGAGGAAGAAAGGAGCGAGCACGTGTTTCGACAACACTTTTGTCCTCGAGTAAAATTCTCAAGGGGTGCCATATCATATTTTATTATCTTTTTTGTTCGTGCATCTTTTAATCCAAGTCTGTCTAAACCTTTTCGTATCTTTTACTAGTAGCGTTAGTTCGTTCTGCGTTTGTACTCTTGTTCTTATACCGGCGTATGTGAAAAAAGACTGCGTGTAAATAACCGAGCGTGATAGTAATATATTTTGTATTTCATGTAAGCGCGCGGCAAAGTCTCGGTATCATATTTGCACTATGTTCTAATGTTGTTAAAATGATAAAAATATGTTTGTTATATTATATGATTAATTATAGGCTCCTTATAGGTGACTGTGCGGTCTTCATATGAAAAATTTAATTGATGAATTTTAATTATTTTATTCAAATTAATTATTTTTTTAATATTGACAGAAGAGGCGAATTTTGTCACACATCCTATTTCTACTCGTTAAAATTTTTGCTCTCTAAAAGGAAACTAGCTGTAGAAGTTATTCGTTACCACGCATGCTAACTACGAAATAATCCAAGTGCAAAAGCTCTCTATGATATCGCGACTTGTACGAACAAAAAGTACTCCTTTAGGATCTTTTAAATTATTTATATCGGATATTTTAAAATTTTTTATTGTATTATCTTAAATTAAAATTGTTTGATATTTTAATTGGAAGACTTGAACAACATTATTTTACATAATTTCAAATTTAATATACAATATACTGAATTTATATCAATTCACTAGCCCGCCTGCGTTATTAAGCTATAAAGTTTCGATGAAAGAATCCATTTTTTCTTTTAATGCATAATTACAACTTGCATTAATACAACCAAAAACTGAGTAATCGGTTTCGATGCTCCAAAATCACATAAACAATATTCCGTTTGGCATCTTTAATCAATGATCCATGGGCTTTAATACTCAGGAGATATTTTGGCAGGAATCCGATGCATTCTGTAGCCTAAGCCTAAGTTATATTTAAAAAGGAAATCATTAGCCATGAGGAAGTGATACCAAATAATGTGCCTCGATATGCAATAAGAATAATATTGATATTTTTATAAAAGCAACTATATTTTCATGTGTAGTATGTAAGTTTTGTAAAACATTTGCTCGAAGATATACTTGAACAAAACGCAAAAATGCTCAATACTCCTCTTCGCATATTATTATTATATTTTATATTTAGAGAATTTCGAATTTGTATGTTAGAAACAATTTTAGAAAATGCGTCTAGAAGTGCCGAAGAATTATAGCAAATGTGTATTGATTGAATGTTGTAAGCCCTTTCAGGGTAGGTTCCTGTCAATTAAATATAGTATTTTTTTTCGCGTAATCTCGTGCATCCTTCCTTACCCAAAATTAACGATAAGATTTATACTAGCTTTAAATAAATATTTATTCCATTGAAAATATAAAATTACAATTTATAGCATGTTACGCAATGTGTTTACATAATTTGCAAATAATCTCGCATAAATTATTTGTCTAGGTCAGAAATTTCCATAATATTCTAATTATCACAGCTAAGAAGATCGTCATAACCGTCGCTATTCCATATTTCGACGGCTTCGTCTCGTATGGTACTCTGGAAACGACTCCTCGTGGTAGAGGAGACCTCAGCGAAGGGGACACACCTTTACCGATCGGTTCTCCTCTCATAGAGAACTTGGTCGCTTCTATAATCTTGACATCGATCATTTTTCCCATGTACTCTTGCTTCATAGGAATTAACACCTGTTCGTAGAATTTGTTATGGCCAACGTAATGCTGCTTATCATGCGATACCTCCGTCACCAGCACCTTCTGCTCCAGTCCCACTTTGTGTCCGTACGGTTCGTACGACTGGAAGAAATCCGACAGCCTTTTGGTCCTAGTCTTCACCTTCTGCGTGGGTACTTTCGGCATCCGGGCGGCGGGCGTGCCGGGTCGTGAAAAGAACTGATTGATAAAGAGGCTTGGGAACTTGTACTTCTGACAGAGCGCCATCGTCTCCTCGAAATCCACTTCGGTTTCCGTAGGGAAGCCACATATGATATCCGTGGCGATAGTCAGACCGGGCACTCGCTCACTCAGGAAGTCCACCACGTGCTCGAAATCAGCGCGCGTGTATTCTCGCTTCATGTCAGCCAGCACCTGGTCACTGCCGGACTGCACTGGGATATGTAAGAAGCTATAGACTCCAGGATGCCGCAAGATCTTGGCCATCTCGTCCAAATGCTCCAGGATGTATGGCGGATTGGTCATACCGACGCGCATCATGCATCCATCGGGGATCACGTCTACCAATTGCCACAGCAGTTCCGGCAGGCTGGTGCCGATGTCTCTGCCGTAAGCGCCTGTGTCCTCGGACGTGAGCCACAGCTCGCACACACCCTCCTCGAACGCCTGTTTGGCTCGCTCGACTATCTGCTCCGGCAGATAGCTGCCCAGTTCACCTCGCGCATGCTTCGTCTTGCAGTAAGTGCACTGATTCAAGCAGCCCGTGTTAATGGCTATGATCTCGATGAGCGGATTCCGGCGCACCTTCGGAAGACTCAGCGAAGCGCCGCCTGTCTTCTTACCAGAGTCCTTCTTCTGCTGCAAGAACCTGACAGTGTTTCCTTTCAAAGTCTCTTCCACAACCTCCAGCACTCGGTCAATTTGCTGCACTCCGATCATACTCAACCCTTGGAGATAGGAAGACTTGGGAGCACCTTGCGGTACACATCTGTAAGATACAAACGAAACATTTATTCAGGAGCTGTTCTAAATCATTCTTAAGATTGGGAAGAAAGCTGTAAAATTCTATACATTAACTTTCAAGTACGAGAATCGGGTAAAATGGTGATACGTTGATAATACGCTAACAAGTTGTCGTTTTATCATTACAGTAGCTGTACAACCACGTACCCAGCGACTACGACGTGCTTGCCGAGCTTCTTCCCGTACTCGATCTCGTTCCTGAATTGATCCTCCGCGGGACTCTTGACGGTGCACGAGTTGAGCAGCCACAGATCTGCCATCAGCTTATCCTCGGTCAAGTTGTACCCGTACGTCGCCAACTGACCGGCCATGTATTCGGTGTCCGAGCTGTTGTGCGTGCATCCCCACGTCTTCACGTAGATGGTCTGCGTGCCGGGTATTATGCTCGACAGCACGGACGGCTGCAACACTTGTTCCTGCGTCTTTCGCTTAGGCCGTATCGTGATGTGTTTCCGCGAGCTGTACCTCTCCTTAGGCGTTATGTCCTGCGACGCGATTAAATCCTCAATGTCCTCGATAATGTCCTCGCATGGAGCAGGCATGTTTGTCAAACGCCAAACTGATCTCCAAGGCCCGGTCTGCAACGAGTTGTTAGTCGTTAAGTCAAAACTATATGTCGGTCCTTTTTCTTCCGCCCGGAAAGGAAAAGGATCAACGTATAGTGGGCGACTAAACAACTCATTGTAGCATCGGGCCCAAGTTGTCCACTGCAATATCTTGAAACGTGTCACGAGACAATTTGAGGTTAAATGCACGTGATCTTGAAACTAATAAATTTCATATAAAGTGAGTCGTTGAGATTGTCGGAAAGTTACAACAAAGAACAAAAGCATTGCGTTATTATATTATTCATCTATTGTTTATTCCTATTTGAAGTGTAAACGTAAAGATTCGTAAAATTAGATCACGCTAGAGGTTAGATTACCTAAAGTTTCACCAGAGAGAAACCTGAGAGCGGCCATGCCGGTGTTCTGCTTGTTACCGTTTTCGCTCGACTGATTCCAGCGCTTTACGCCCATTTTCATTTTTGGAACTATTCCGCTACACCCATTTTCAAGTACTGCCGATAAACCGTGCTTTCCAGCAAGCGACACAAGTCGACACAAATGTCGTTCTGTCTTTCTTCGCATTCAATGAATAATAAAGACAGAACGACACTTGTGTCGACTTGTGTCGCTTGCTGGAAAGCACGGAAAGTCTCCACTTGGTGCGTGTCCGTGCTACGCCCATTTTTCAAGCGGGTAATGCAGTGCCCAATTTTGGTCGTATTCCGTGCTGCATGCATGAAATGTCGGTAACAGGAGAGTGATCACTCCTTGAATGGCTTGAATATTAAAATTCAAGCACACAAATCATGGAGATATTCTCCATGTAGTGGACGTAGCGTGTTACCCGGTGAAAATAATGGTGGACACGGCTACGCAGTTCAACTTCCATGTTTTGTATACATTGAGGCGCCAGTGGACAGGACCCACGATTAAAACGTGAACGTCACTGATTGTGGGTCCATTCACCAACTTCTCTCTGGTAGATTCTTTTAAATTTCGAAATTCTAATAATTATATCGCTACTCTAGCCTAGCCTGTTAAAAAGGCAAATGGTTTCTATAAACGTTTAATAGTTACATCGTGAATGCAAACATTTATTGAGGTTACATTCAGGCAAAGTGGTCGTCGAATAAAATTAATTTGTACAGTGTCTTTTTAAATGTGTGATTGCCTCCCCCATAATTAAGATCGATTAAACGCGTGTAGCGATTAACAGTGACAGCTTAAAATATTTTATATTTGTTACGCAGCATTTTCGTCAGCTCTCGTCTAGCGAGGAGAATCTGCTGAAGGGAGAGAAAGTAAAACAATGAAATTTTTCACTGAACCCGTAGCACGTTGTGCTGCGCGAATTGGTACACTAAGTGGATCTGAAAGACTGCCAAACGTTTCCTTCGAAACACCATTACTTCTTATTTACACGAAGGTACGAGACGAGTGGTCCTTTCTCTCTTGCAATTGTGCATAATCCTCTTACAAGATTGTAATTCGCAGAGCGGCAGTGTACCACACTTGACGAAGGACGTCTTTAAAAATGTAACAACGGAGGAGCAGCTGTTATCGGTCTCGCTTTCCTCGACCGTGTTAATGGCAGACGTTATTAAAGAGTTGGACACTTCTCTTGCCGATTTCGCGAGCATGAAGGTATTGGCATTGACAAACTTGTTGGACCACCATCGAGATTTCATTGTACTGTCAATTATCAGAGGCCTTTGTTTCAGGAATATATAAATTTCTTATCGATACACGATCCTGCTTGCGCTACCAACCCTGGCTTTCAGCAACTAGACTCCGTTTCTATCTGGTCCAGAACAGGAAGAATTGCTGTTTCGGCTAGCAAGTATATGGAATTTGTGCAAGCTCTTAAGCCAGATCTATATGTTGCTTTGTGCGACGGGGATACGAATATTAACAGCGGCGCGAAAAGAGTGACTAAAGCGGTGCGTCGAAGTAAGACTTTGCTGGAACAATGTTTGGACATTCATCTGCGTACGGACGCATTGAAATCGAAGGGAATATTAGGACCGGTGGAGGGTGGTTATAATTTACAAGCTAGAGAAGAGTCCATAGATTATCTAAAAGACAAGCCGTTGGCAGGATTTGTGATAGACGGGCTGCACAATAACGGACCAAGTGTGCAGAATATTTCGTCGGAACAAGTTAAACAAGTGGTGCGACATACCGTCGTAAGTACCGATCTCAAGTTAAAAAATTTATCCAACTTACGCGATTGGACGTACTTTAATTGTAACAACGAAAGAATGTGAATCGCCAGTAGTTGATTAACGATAGAAAGAATTGTTAGACGGCTTTAGGCTGGCAGATGGTTTCTTTATTTAAATCTGATCCTTCTCAAGGAATTCAACAATAATATTACGTCATTGATATTAAACTAAAAAGCACAGGAGTTTGACATCCATCTCTGGGCGTCACTCGGAGAACTATGTTAGAAGACACGTCCATCTGATGTAATGACCACAATAGGACCAGAGATGGATGTCAAACTCCTGTGCTTTTTAGTTTAATATCAATGACGTATTGGTCGAAATGGTCGGATTTAAATAAAGAAACCATTTGCCGGCCTAAAGTTGTCTAACAATTCCTTGCAACATTTTATAGAATCTGCTGCCTGCTGACAAAATGAAAGTGTCGCTGGGTTGTTGGAATCCAGCTACCATATTGGACCTCATTGAATTGGGAGTAGATGTATTTGATTCGTCCTACCCTTACGTTATTACCGAGCAGACGCAAGCTTTAACTTTCATGTGCGACCACGACACTTGCGAGCACAATCAATACGCAATGTCGCTAGCGGAAAAGAGGTAGGATAAAGAGACAAGACATTCGTACTTGAAATAAATATATAATGTAAAAATCTATAAAAAGTAATGTTACTCTATTCTCTTGTTCCAGGTATGCAGACGACTTCTCTCCCATCTGTAAGAGATGCAAATGTCTTGCGTGTCAAAATCACTCGAGAGCGTATATCCACCATTTGCACCACACCAAGGAAATGCTTGCTTTAGTACTTTTAATGATGTACGTATTTAAAAAATTATGGTCTAATCAATCTCCTACGTGTATATTAACAATCGGTTGCCCTTTTAGACACAACACCCATTGTTACCTTCAATTCTTCAGTGTCATTCGCGATAGTATAAAAAACGGAACGTTCGAGCAACTTCAGACGAAGATCCGTCTAAAATATGCAACTGCCAACTCCGAAGCCCCCACTGTATGAACAGTGCTTTTAATAAATTCTTGTTTTACACTATCTCATCTCTGGAAGAAATTTATCTGCGTCATTCGGGCAGTAAATTCGGATCGAGATAATTGTAGAAGATATCGCTGAAGTTATGCAGAGAATAATCCGAGTCGTAGCTTGTAGTACTCGTTGGTGGTTTTATGGGAATTAATCTGTGGGACGGATCGTGCGAGGGATTTTCTTCTTCCAATTGCGCCACTGCGCAGTCACCACACAGGTCAATTCCACTAAGACATTCCGCGCAATGCCATCTGGTACCAATTAAAGGCTCCTCGCCACACACCATACACTGCAGGCAAGAATATCATTGATGAACAACGGTTTCCTACGTAGCCGAGGTGGCCGCACAAAAAGAATAGTACGCACTTTGAACCCAATGTGTTTGTACGCGGGAGAATCCTGTTCCTTCTCAGCCTTCACTTGGCGCAACAAATTGATCTGCCTTAACTCGGGATTATCGTCACCTCCTCCGTTCGGCGTATCGTCCTCCTGGGAAAATAACATTAACGATTTCTCAATCTCCAATATCTTACATAAGACAATAATGTACAATGCTTACAAATTCCTCTGCCACAGGCTGCTCCTTACTCTCGTCCAACAGATTGAAGGAGATGTTTTGATGCGGGAAGAAAGTCGAACGTTTAAACAGGAAGTGATTGTTACGAAGCTTATTCGTCACACTTTTCCTCACGTCCAGTTTTAACTTGGGCCCTTTGCCCGGTATGGGTAAACCCGCTCTCAAGAGCTTGATAAAGTACTTTTGAACCCTGCTGGACACTTGCTTGGGCGTTCGATTCCCTGCAAAGAGAAACAGTTATAACAGCTCACCCGCGAGAGGTGGCGTGCACGTATATCATTGACACACCTAACGCGTTCGCTATTTTGGTCCAACGTCTCATCTCCACCTCCTCGGGTGGATACTCGATTAAAAGTTCCTCGAGCCGCCTTTGCTCCTCGACCGTCCACAGCTGATTGAAAGTCTCGGGCTTGCTCTCGTCGAAGGCACGACCTCTGACTAGGACCTGCGGGAGATGAAGTCGATCAAGTACCGAGTCTATTTCCAAAAGTACGCAACGTCGACACGCACCTTCCCGTTTTCCTGTCGCGTCTTCGATTGCATTCGCGGCAACACGTGTCCGTGTCGAGTTTGCGGCCTCACGCGCGCATCCGGCACCGTGATGTTGTACTGCGACCAGTCGACGTAGGGGATCTCCGCGACCTTCTGCGGACCAGGTAGCTCCGGGAGGTCGCCGTTCTGCAGCCGCGCGACGAACGTTATCGGGTCCCTCAGCGCCTCGGCGCGCACGGACATGAGCCTGTCCAGGTCCTCTATGGCTTGAACCCTCTGTGCCTCGAGGATAACGATCGTTTTCAGGAAAGCGCTGTAATCCTTGTTGCCCTTGAGCGCCAGGTGATCGGACTCGAAGTAGAATTCGTTCTCCTCCTCGCACGAGAATCCCGCTTCCGCGTCGTTCATTCTTCGATTCGTTCAATTTAACAGAGATACACGCGTTTGCACGAATCCACAGACCTCTTCAGCCGACACGCACTCGAGCACGTGTCGACGATGACAGATGACTTAACCTCGCCCGGCCTCGCCTGACTGAACGCTACACCGGCTACACCCGAGGTGCGGCGTGGTGTAGCGCCGAGGACCATTTCTTGGCTCATTGTCAGCCAATGAGAAGTGCCTTCGATTTAGTCCCAACTTGGCGTCGCGGCTTATCAAGAATTTTGAAATTGAGACATTTCGCGCGGATTTTACAGACTCTTATAACCCTGGTGAAAAATTCTTCTCAGAGTTGTTGTACACGAATTGAGATTGGAAATACTGAGACTGTCCACTTCTTTTCTTTTCTACAATTTTTCATATATATTCCACTTCTGAGATTTCGCATTCTATAATTTCTGAAAAAAATGTCTTAAACTTTATTAAATCTTATGAGGTCAGTGTGAAATTATAGAATGAGAAATCTCAGAATACTTTAGAATTCATATACGTGAACAATTTTAGAAAGGATACAAACTTTCTCAGCACTTCTGAGAAGTGTGCTAATTTGTATTAAAAAATCTGAAAAAAGTTGTAAGAATTTATAAGATTATTGAAAAGATCCGAAATATTTTCACCAGGAAGCTTCTAAATATTATCTGATATTTTATAATATTGTAACATTGCAAAATTCGAAAGCATTTTTATATTTACTGTTTCAGTGATATAATTTTAATATATCAATGTTACAATTAATTAATTTATTATTAAAATCTTACGGATGTATAACTCTGCTTACCTGTCCGCTTTAATTTGCGATGCTCAATTTACATCGATCCAGCGAAGTATAGAATGTACGAAGAAGTGATACCCCAGATAGCATACACGTCTAAAAGACATCTTTAAGGTGGCGTTAAGTTGTCTTTTAGATATGTACGCCTAGAAATGTCTTAACGGTATCTTTATGACGTCTTTTAAACATGCATTGCTATCAGGGACGTTAAAATAATTTTAATAAATTTGTTTTCTCTTATCTTTTATTAAGAATGCACATTGTATCGGGACTAAATTGTTGCTATGTTACGCGGCACAAACTGAACTGACTCGTCTCGCTCTTAGATGTTACTATCTCTCGTGTAAAGAGAATCAGCTGATTAGATTTTAATCAAATTGTTATCTTAAATCGAGTATACTTCTACCAGAATTGAAATAATTTTGTTAAGACAGAAAAGTAACGTTTGCAGAACTAAGTTTCGTCACGTAACATTGATGTTCTCAAGATTGTGTGACATACATGTATAACATAAAAATATTATAGAGATAAGATAACCGCGCGTGTGCGTATACGTGGAGGAAGTGGAGCTCCTAACGTTATGAGACAAAACGATTATTCACTCAAAACATAATGGCAGCTTTAATTAATGACGTGAAGTAATCGCCTCCGTGTATCCCCTCCCCTTCCCCCCGGCTTCTCTTTCTATATAATTCTCTGTGCGGTCATGGTCAGAAAGGTTGTCCGACGTTTTACAATAAGGTTTCGGAAAATTCCCCACATAGCACATAATATTACAGTAATATCATTGGAAATGTAATATTACAATAAAATATATCGGAAATATTACTGTAACATTAAAATGTCCGTCCAACAAAATTGCTCTGATAATATTTCATTCATACTTGAATGCGATATACATTGAAAAGTGCCAAATAGCAACGTGACGTTAAGTGACGTCTTCATGGCATCTTAATGACGTAATAAAACGGAATGAGACGTAATTAAAAAGTCATTTGACATCATCTTGCGCTACTTTGGATCTGATATATTGTGTGAGAGAATTTTCTTTTAAAATCTACCCTGAAAATCGTGGTACAACGTGGCATTTTAAAGAACTTTATGAGGGTTTTCTGAAAATTTACCATACAATTTACTAATAAAATGTATGGTAAAATGTTGAAAAACTCTCATAAAGTTGTTCAAAATGCCACGTTGTCCCACGATTACATGATTTTCGGGATAAATTTTAAGAGAAAATTCTCCCCGTGTACAATCTCTCGCAAGATAGACTGTATTTCCGAAATTTGTCATACAACGTCGGATAACTTTATTAGCTCTCGATAGAAAACGGCCTGAGTTAAAATTAAGTTTTCAAATGTACCGGCTCGATTAACAATATGTACTTACAGTATGAAAGTTCTCTACTCAGGGTACGACATACTTGTGTGGTATGCTTGTTATTTTGCTTCAGTCGACAAAAAGATATATTTTGAAATGCTACGTTACACTTAGTGTGAAATATCATCTGTCTGACACAGCATTAAACATCGGTAAGTCCGGTAGGCGTTTTTTTACGGAAATTGGAAAGACAGAGTCAGCTTATGTCTCCCGAGGAATAATCGATGTATTAGATTTCCTTCTTTTCATAAATGTAACAAAAAATATATATAAAAACTTGAGAGGATTGCTTGACCATGTCTGGCAAACTTTAATGTTCAAAATCACGACGTTTCGACCATTGTTTGTGGTCCTTCTCAAGTGATGAATTTGTCAGTAAATCAGTATGTGAAGTAAAGGAGCCGATCATGTTTTCACAAACGACCGAACATGATTTCATCACTCGAGACGGGCCACAAACAATGGTCGAAACGTCGTAATTTTGAACATAAAAATTTGCCAGACATGGTCGAGCAATCCTCCGAAGTTTTTTAATTACTTCTGGCGACTTATAAGATTTCCTCTGTCAAAAAATATATACTTGCTCGGAATTTTAGGCCGGTATTCATAGTCAGAGCTCAATTGAAGACCGTCTTAAGGTCATCTTTAGATACTCCGTAGCCAAAGTTCCATACGGCATCTTTAGATAAATTCAAGACGGTCTTAAATATTAAGTCCCAGATAGCACAGTGAATTCGCAAAGTATTCCTCAAGTTTTCTGCCTTTTTGAATTGCAACTCTTTAGGAATTCATAGAAGAATGCAATAAAAATGATTAGGGAAGTTGCATGCATCATAATGAACGCCTGACCACAAGACGAACTCGGCGAGAAATGGCTTGTTAATCGATGTCGAAACGATGTCGGATCGACGTCAATATGATGATTTCGATGTTGACACGACATTTCGACGTCGATCGACGAGTCATTTCTTACTGGGAACTGATTGCGGCCGGTTTTCTCAAGACTTCTTCAGGTATTCAATTTTCCAATTCCGCAGGTATTCTTTCAAATGAATTCTCTATTCAAAAGCAGGCTTCAAGCCTAATTTAGGAAGGAGGAGAATTCTCTATGAGCTTACGTTCACCTTTCTGCTAGACTGCTTATACCGGCCTTGGAATGTTATAACATTATTGCACGTTTGCTTTACTTTATTCATAAGTCACTGACATAGTTTCAAGCAAAACGCACGGAGTCATCGCCGATCTATGCGACCTTAGCGGCACACCTTGGTGACTGGTGTCACAAGTCCAGTCGCCGAGAATAGTAACTGCCGTGTCGCGTTATCCACAATTACAGAGACTCTATTCCGAAATACCCTAAAGATGAAATGAAATTGTTATCTTATCTATTTGTCACTCAACTGCAATGATACACAGCTGATACACTGACGGAAGCCTGATGACAACTTAGCTGATTAGATGTTTGCCGGTTTACCGGGGCGGAACGGCACTCGTAGAATTCGGGCAAACAAATCATTTAACATAGCCCGGCTCGTTCACGTGAGCGACCGCCAGCTGCCAGATGGCACAAATCTCACAAATCCAATGCTTAACGTCATATGATGTCGATTTCCAGAGACTCCCGTTTATCTTTTCTAGCCCGGTGACCGACGATCAAGAAAGATAGCGAGCCCGGTCTGTGACGAGGATGAATATCTCCTTATCAGCGCGCCAGTACTCGTGAGAAAAAAGAATACGCGACAAGAGCCGATCCACTAGCGGCCCGATTTCAGAGCTCTGACGTTGATAAACCCGTCCAATAGCTTCAGTCGCGTGGTCGTGCCCGCTACGTGCTCGCGCGTGGAGCGCCGCTGTTTCCGTCCCGCAAAGGAGAAGATAAAAACCGCCATCGCCACCGCCACCGTCGTACAGAGACCACGCACAGTTCGCGCGATGTGTCACTGAATTTTGAATCACTGTTGACAGTGACAGTGGATCGGTGCAACGTGCTCCGCGCTCTCGTTTCTCGTCCCGTTTGCTACACACGCAGAAAATGACATACGAGGAGCAGCCGCTCGGTAAGGTCGAGCTGAAGAGAGAGCTGGGGCTCTTCAGCGCGGTCAGCATCATTCTGGCGATAATGATAGGTGAGATACTGTTGACTAGGAATCTCAATTGTTCGCGCGTGCGAGAGCGTCGCCTGTAAACGTGATCGGATTTTCTCTCGCGTCTACCATTTCAAGTTAATGAATTAAACGTCGTTTCGTTCCCGCGTGCGATACTCGTGTCTCACGCGCCTCGATATTCCGCGAGTTCGATCGAGAACTCGTGAAACTGGAAAGCGGATTGCAACACGTTGCAGATGATAAAGGCGGAAATCTATGACACTGTTATTCATTTTATTTTTATTCGCGAATTTGCCGATCTCTGACACTCCCGTTCGCAATCGCGCTCGAGCGATAAATCGCGGATGCAACACAAAGAAGGCGATCGCGCTCAAATCCGCTGCATCGTGCTAAAAAAAGATCCGGCCCGATGCGCGCTCTTGCTGCAAGTCACGAAAATTATTTTCACTCGCCATTGTTCGGCGATGTGTAATGAATAATTAAAATGTCGCAGGACAAAATTTCATAGTATATGATCGCTCGAGCGCAAGTAAAAAGTGAATTGCGTAAAGGTGATATAAAAATTCGGTTTCCCGCTGAACTAAGGAACATCTGCGTCAAGTGCAAATTAAGAGATACCGAGGGTAATTATGTGATAAAAATGTGCCCAAAAATACGCGTTGTTATGAAATTGTATTCATTCTTTGTACAAATGTCCCTCGGCGTGATAAAATTATTTAACGGGAGCGTGTTTCCAAAAAATTTTTAACATCATTATATTTCTCTCTTTCTCTCTGTTTTCTGTTCTCTTTTTTTTCAACCTGACCGACAATTGTCACATTGCATATCAGAATTAATCTGGAAGAAATTAGGGAGGCACTATTTGCCGAAAAACAGCGTGAGCGTATTTGGAATGCTAGGTAATAAAGTAGAATAGTAAGCGCGCGACAAGATAGAGTCTGAAAAACACGATAATTTTCTGATGCTGAGAATTAAGGAAGGACTCAATTTCGCGGCGAATAAATGTAATATACGTCTCAATTTGTGTTCGCGCGTCGCGATCGCGAGCTCTGAATTTTAAGCGACGCGTCTTTTTTAGAAACAAAGAAAGTCATTGCCCGACCTTTTCCCGTGCCAATGAAATAAGCTTGTTATTGCATTTTGTTTGGACCATCGCTCGTCATAGAGCGGCGAGATCGTGTATGTGCAACGCGAAAGTTACACTTGCTCGTAGATAAGGTATAATCGCCAACACCGTTTATCAATATTTCATTAAAACGGCACAATAAGTAATAATCATAAATTATGGCGTTCTCGGAACTGCGGTGGCAGCCTTTAAATGCAAGTCGGCAATTTCAGAGCAGTTAACAGTAATTACATAATTGTATGGAGCCAAATAAGATACCGCTTTGTACACTGGAGCTCTTGTATTTTAACAGTTGATTGACGGTGTCCGGGACGCTTTCTCACGCGGTCTTAGATACCGGGTGTTAAAAGAATCAAAAATACAAAGTTGCATTTGTTCGTTGAGGTCAGTGGAAAAGTTATGGCAGAAAATGAGGAATTTTATATGTGCGTGCGGGCCGACGCTTACATAGATAGCATATTAAGCGATTAGATTTTAAATTATCGAAATATTCCTAAATTAAAACGCCCATTTTCACGCGATTGTTACTCGAAAGCTTAGCAAAAGACACGAAATTCTTGGAGCGTTATCTTTCGCGCAGGTAGATCTTATCCGTTATCCACTTAAGAATCTCCAAAGAATTCACAGTTCAAGAGTGGAGGATTAATTACTGTGATATTGTATCTACGATCAAATTATGTTATCTGATGTAAGTAAATCATGTTGCAACGAAGAAATTGGCACAGAAAAATAACATCGTGTTTGTCGAATATTTTATCCCGATGTTACAAATTCTTACACCGAGAAAAATGTCCGATTAAATTTAATCGGACAATCCAATTACACATAATAATAAACGAATATATCCAATTAAATTGTATATCCGATAAAAAATATGATTGGTTTTTCAATCAAGTTTCATCGATAACTGCATTTTATCGGATGTATCTGTAATTTAATAAGAAAACGTAATCGGAAAAATTAACCGTCGGAAACACTATTTAATTGGTTTATCCGACGAAAAATTTTCTCGGTGTGGCAATTTACGTAATAAAGAAACACTTAACATCGCGCAGCGTGCAGATGTTAAGATTCTAATAATGAAAAATGTTTATCAATTTATTAATAAAGGGAAACTTTACGTCACGCAGTCCGCGGATGATCGAGTGCCCTCTCGACGATCAATAAATTAATGGGCCAACAATGGCCAACAAGTATTTTGTGTATCAACGTAATAATTATTACGACTAAAAACGTCGGAAAGGTTAATCGAGATTAATCGGTTATCCACGTCACGAGGCATCAGTCAACTACTCTGTCGTGACTCGGTCTCCGCCGAATACTACTGAATTAACTATATTAACGGCAATCTCGTTTGTCCAGGTTCCGGCATCTTCGTGTCACCGACCAGCGCGTTTGAGCGATCGGGATCTGTGGGATTCTGCCTGGTCGTTTGGATCAGCTGCGGCGTGCTGTCCCTGTTGGGCGCGTTGGCCTTCGCCGAGCTGAGCACCGTGGTACCGCGTTCCGGTGCCGAGTATGCGTACTTCATGGAGGCCTTCGGGCCACTACACCCATACGCAGGTCAAATACCAGCGTTCACCTGTTCCTGGATCTACGTGATGCTGCTACGGCCTGCGGAGGTGGCAGTGATTACGCTGACCTTCGCAGAGTACAGCGTGCAGCCGTTTTCCGGATACCTCTGCAGTCTATCCGGTGATTCCATGGCAACGCTGAAGAAACTCATAGCGGTCATGGCATTGGGCCTGATAACGTATATCAATCTCATCAGCGTCAAGCTTTATGTAAAAGTGCAGAACGTGTTCACTGTGTGCAAAGTAGTCGCCTGTATGGTGGTGATCGGCGGTGGATTATGGTGGCTGGGCTCGGGGCACGTGGAGCTCCTCAAGGAACCCTTTCGCGGCACCACCACGTCGGCCGGCAACATCGCCCTGGCCTTCTACAGCGGACTCTGGGCGTACGACGGCTGGACCGCGGCCGCGATCGTCACCGAAGAGGTCCAGAGACCCGAGGTCAACATCTTCCGGAGCACCCTGATCGCGGTACCGACCATCACCGTTCTCTACGTGTCCATGAACTTGATGTACATGTCGGCGTTGACGATGTCCGAGATGAAGAGCGCGCCGGCGGTGGCGGTCCTTTGGGCGGACCGGGTCCTACCGGCCTGGATGACCTTCGCGATACCGCTCGGTGTAGCGCTGTCGACCTTCGGATGCGCCCTTAGCGTACAGTTCAGCGTGGCCAGGCTGTGCTTCGTCGCCGGGCAGGAGGGCCATGTGCCGCGAGTCTTCAGTTACGTGCACATGGAGAAGATGACACCGGCCGCGGCGGTCATCTTTCAGGGTATACTCTCGCTGGCGATGCTGCTGGTGGGCGACATAACCGCCCTGATCGAGTTCGCCAGTTTCCTCATGTGGGTGTTCTACGGTATGGCGATGGTATCGCTCATAATTATGCGACGGACCAAACCGGACGCTCCCAGACCCTATACCGTGCCCATCGTGATACCCTGGGTGGTACTGGCCATTTCCATCTTCCTCGCGGTACTTCCGATAGTTTACGAGCCATCGATAAAGTACCTTTTTGCACTTGTGTTCATCTTATGCGGTATTGTCGTTTACCATGTATTTGTGTACAACAAGATAAGGAATACTTTATCAGGTGAGTATAACCGAATGAAAAAATATATTAAAGCCGCTTATATAAGAGATTTACGTATCATTGACTTAATTGGCTGCATAAAACATTATTTACTTTGTATGTAAATGTCGGAGTACAATTTACTTTGTCTCTCTTTTCAGCCAAGTTGACATACTTTATGCAAGCGTTATGTCTAATCGTCGCTCCAGATGCAAAGGAAGACTGACCGAAAATTTTTCTTAACTATTATTGTGTGTACATCTAAATGCACGTATGTGTATATGCACACATAACAATTGCTCACATAATGCATTCATTTTTCACGTTACATACGCATTTCGTAGATAAAAAAAATTGCATTATTTCATACTATACATATATTTTTTTACTAAAATAAACTAAAAATTCAATTCTTGTAGTAAACGTAAAAAGAATCGATAAAATGCCGTACATTATGTAAAATGAATGAAGAATTTGTGTGTATATTTATAGACATATTTTATTAGATATTATTTTATATCTTAAGAGTGTAATTGAAGTATTGTATATAGAAACTATCAAGATGTATAAGAGCGTAATACAACACGCTAAAAGTTGAAAAAAATAGTTTATATATTATAATAGTGCAATATTACATTTTTCTATTAAATTATTTTTTAACATTTTACATATAATAAATGTCGAAACGTGTCTATATTGCAATATCCCCTGTTTTATTTACAATGTCAGATGTTTATTATATCTAATAATATTTTGCTATATTTAAAATAGTATTTCAGAAACTTAAAATTTTTTATTGATCTCCTACTTACACTTTTTTGTAACATTTTTTCAATGCATTGTAATATACAGTAAAATGACTATTCGAACTTTTATACAGTTGATAATATTTTTATACATATATAATAAATAGAATAAGATAGATGTATATATAAAATTTACAGAATGCAGGATTTTACATCACATATTAAAAATATTATATGTATATACAAATGTTAATTTTTCATCCTTAATATTTTGTGTGATCGGCTGAACAAAATTTTAGTTCAACATAAGGAGAAAAATGCAGGAGAATTATTACGATTAGATGTTCAGCCTCCAAAACATTTCATTTGATCGTATAACTATTACAAAAACTTAAATTGATACTACATCTGAGATTCACATGCATCTTTTCCTTGGAAATGGAGAAGAATACACTCATTTAATTAACTTATGTGTCTTCGATATGAAAATAAATTTTCAATAGATAAGTTGTAAATATATACATATGTGTATAAAAAAAAACTGTAAGACGTCTATATAAAATATTATCTGTAATTGAGTTGAATGAGTAATATCAATTGATTGTATCAAAAATAGTCAAAAATTTGTGAATACAATTTTATATACTATATTGCTTAATGTAATATTGATAAAATTCTGCTAATATAATTCATACAATACTCTATGTGTAAAATATCATTCCCAAAAATATCCCACTGTAAAATAGATGGTTAAAAAATATTTTCTATATTATATAATATCTTCCTTTTATAACAGCATCGTTTTAAAATTTGTACAAATTTAACTTTTTTCAGATCTTATTCAGTACGGTCTCTTCAGTTATTATAACCCAGTCTATAAAATTGCTATTGGGTTGCACCACATTTTGGACAGGTTTGTCTTTCACTAAAACAATTGAAAATATAATACTTTCCAAAGAAACATAGAGTTACTTTAACGCTTACCTGAATATCTGGTGAAGCTTTTTCCGAAATTCATTGCATAAAGTCCTTTCAGATGCAAGTGCCGCATCGCGTTCTCCTAATTGTTGTCTCAAATTATATATTGTATCTTCCAGCGCTTCAAATATTGCCTGAAACGATCGAATATTTTGTTAAGTAAACTAACATTGCAATCGTATCGAGATCTGTAAATGTGATTTATATTACGACTCACTCTAGATTCTTCTGCTGTGTCAGATAAAACAGGAGGTTCATCCAAACAGAAGAATTCTCTTACGCACGAGACGCCTATGAGAAGTGGGCTACTCAATATGTCATTAACAAACGCCTGAAGGCCGCGTATTCTCTCCTCTAGGAAACTTGGAGCAAAATTGTCGCCGAGCCACTTTTTCCTTGGCAATGTCAGATGAGCGATAGGAACTTTTTGCCTCTTCAATTGCGCCAGTAATCGAACGAAGTCTGTGTACCTCCGAAACACAAACCAGCAATCGCCGTTTTTCAACTCGACTCGAAGCTTATAGACCTGGGTATCAGAAAGGAAGAATCTGTTTTTAAAATTCTTCGAGAATTTTGCCATGCAGTAAAATGATTTTCATAATTTTGTATCTTAAATAATATTACTGCAGCGACTTTATATATTTTTAAAGTTTTATACTATTAAAAGTAATGAAGCGAACACCATCAAACATGCAAAATCTTTATATCTATGTGTTATATAAACGAGAAATATGTATTGCGACAAACACTGATAGAATTTAACGTGACTATGGAATCATTGATGTACAATTAACTAACTGTAAATCTAGCTCTCTCCTCCATAATCTCATAACCAACGATAGGTATTCTCAAGTCATCGCTGGTGAGGGGCGACTGAAGAATATCCGAGTTGGCATTGTTATCATTGGTGTAATTAAATCGCTGCACGGTAAAGGAATTAGAGTGGCCTGATCCATCGGAGTCGGGACTGTCGAGGACCCTCACAGCACCTGCCTGAGAACTCCTTGCTTTACTAATTGCGAGCGTTACCTCACTAATGCATCCCACACCAGCCTCTGGATTGGACATTCTTAACTCGGGCAAAACTAAACAGAACCATGCGTGCTTGAAACAAAAAGGTTCAACGTTGCGAAGCTTAGCTACTGGATACGAGTAAACTCGAGCGGACGACGGCGATTTTTATGTAAAACACTGGTACTCGAGTTGGACAAACGTTACGTACCTAAGGACACTGTGCAGTTCGACAAAGCCTGATTACCGTGTACTTTGTGCGACTAGAAACTCTATTTTGTACCAAATCAATGCGCTTAAAAAATTTATCGATGTTGTATGACGTACAATTTCTCTTGCACACGTGTTTTAATTTACTGGCCACAAAATAGAATGTTTCTAGACGCGAAGAGCACATTCACACATGTCACATCGAAAGCACTTGACAACAATTTAAAAGTATTCATAAATTACGTACGCATTGCGTAAAAAGTGGTACGTTTAATGAAGAAAGTTTTGCAAGTTAAAAAGCATAGCGAATCACTTGTAAAAACTCAGTCTGTGCAATCGAATTTAAAAAATCAAGAAGAGAGTCGAGCATACTAACCTTAATTACGTCGACACATAAAAATACAACACGACGCGCTCGATTCCTTTTATCGCATTTTTATTACTCCAACGCAATTGTACACGTCTCGCGAATCGTTCGTCATGTTACAAATACACCGATCGCCTGATTAACGAGCCCCTCGACGAGCCTTCCTTATGTTCGCTTGGCATATTGACAGTTTGCAAGCAATTGGCGAACTTGAAAATTCGCGAGAGTACGAGGTGAATGAGATCAGAAACACTTGGGAGACGGTCTCGGGATTTGCTGCCTCTTTTAACTATGCCGAAACCGCGTGCGCCAGAACCGAGGTCGCGAGAGAAACGGGACACAATTACGGATCAGCTGAAAAATACTGCCCATGCACCTCGCACCTCGCACCTCGCGTTGTGGCTTGTGGCGCCACCTGGGAACTTTGCACGCGCGAGTGGGAAATGCAAATTCCGATTCTTTTGCAGCACGATGTGGTCGGAGAGGGGATAACGCACACAAGCGAGCAGCCGTGTCCGTGTATATTCATTTTTGTTAATATTTATATGTCCTTATATGCTCTTGTGGCGATCGTGGCGCAGAGGATTGTGCGCTGGTCTGGTAATCCTAAGACCCGGGTTCAAGACCAAACGAAAACATTGTTGGTTTTTCGTTCGATCGCCATATAGCGAAGTGGATATAGAGAGAGGTGTTACAAGAAGTTTGGGCACGTTCCTTCAAAAACGCCTTATAACCCTAAGGGGAATCAATAAAATGTACTAGTACATGTAATACTGTACGGCGTAACAGAAGGTTAACTTGCCACTGAGTGTCCTATGGAAGTTGTGAGAATCCAACTTGATAAAGACACTCGTGTGGAAACCAACTATATATCAGAAAATATAGTAGAGTTAACGCAACCCAACGAGATAGAATCAAGTGAAAACAGTCCACTGTACATTGGATTGGAGGACACGGATATTTCAAAGAGAAATGGTGGTGAATAAACGATATAGCGAAATAATACGATCGGAACGGCCGGTTGACCAGGACATTTGACGGGAAGCTATCGAAAAGAGGCAGCCTTCCTTATTCAATCTCTTGCCACACATATCTTACTGCTCAGGAAG